CTCGCCTGCATTTCGCGCACTCGACACGCACGATCTCCGCAGAGGGTTGCGCGCACACCGGACAAATCGCACTCTCGCCTGCATTTCGCGCATTCGACACGCACGATCTCCGCAGAGGGTTGCGCGCGCACCGGACAAATCGCACTCTCGCCTGCATTTCGCGCACTCGACACGCACGATCTCCGCAGAGGGTTGCACTTTCGGTTGACGCTGTTCGTCCCGCACTCCGCCTTTAAGAGAGAGTTTATAAAGTGGGGAAATGTTTTTTCATTAGGACATCTCCCGTGCTAGTTTTCCATACTCACACTTGCCTACTCATTGCATGCTTGTATACTCATTGCGTGCTTGCATACTCACCCTTGCATATCATGCTTGCATACTTACACTTGCATACTTTGACACTGGCATACTTCGCACTTGGATGCTTTCGCTCGTCCAGTGTGTGTGTGTGTGTAAGTGTAAGTGTCGAAGTGTAAGTGTTCAAAGGATTTTCCGGAAGAACCCTTCGCAATGCTTTCGGGAAAAACACAAAAAAAAAACTGTCGGTCATCTTTTTGGACACTCCAAGATCTTATAGAAGACACCAGAGAAGCAAGGCCTTTCCGACGTGCCACGCTGCACCCCTCAACCATCCACTACGTTAAGGGCCTGTAAGGCTCTGGAATCGAGGCCATGGTGGTGACGTGTAGGAGGCAGGAGCCTCTTGAACAAATGCTAGGTATGTATGTATTTCAATAGGGAGACCGGAGGACCCAACTGGGTTTTGATCTATTTCCCTGCGTCTTTGGGAGGAGGTCTCCCTATTTTAATACACACCCACATGCATCTTTGGGAAATGTGCTTCTAAAGGCCCAATACCATGAAGAGCCATGAAGATCGCGCAGCGCATGCTTTCGGGGCTCTCCATGGATTGACGGCAAAGAATGGCCTGAAAAGGCATCACTCACCTTGTCTTCTCGGTTTTGGACTTCTAACTTGACAGTCTTTTGTCGGACTGAGTCAAAGCCTTTATATAAAAGAAGCCACTTCTTGCAGGGTTTATACAGAAAGCTTCCAAAATCCTCTCCTGGGCTTTACAACGGATGTCTCTTAGAGATTGGGATTCCCCCTCTTCTGTACCTCATGAATTCGGACCACGGCACACCAGCTAGCACCCCCATGACCCAGTCCTCCCCCACCGTGGGCCTTCAAATCCAGGTCCTCAGGGATGAATGGATTGGGATGCGGCAGATGAAGCCCCACCGCCTCCGCGGCCTTCACCGCCTCCTCCGCGGTGCTGCCTGGGGGAAGGCCAAACGAGACAGAAACCCGTTCAGCCGGGCCGCAGTTCTGCCGTCGTAAGATCCGGGACGTCAGCGTAGTCCAAATCGTTTTTTCCGTGAGTGAGAAACAAGCCAGCCTGCATGCAAGGCGTTGCACCAGCTTTCTCTCCAGGCATCCGGAAGTTCCTGGCGAAGAGGTCAGACTCGTCAGACTCCCTCCCCTCCCATTCGGACCTCCAGAGGAATTGGTGCACTCAGAAATCCTCTGTCGCAGAAGAACGGGACCTCGTAACTATGAGATTGACCAGCAACTGCAGGATACAGTTTAACTGCACAGTCTCCAGCTCCGGATCTCGCAAGAAAACCTCTCGACCCATGGTACTCAAAAACTGTTCACATTGATGTTGCCATCCTCCCAATGAACCGCCACCCCCTTGTCTTGTCCTGTGCTTGTTAGCCCATTCAGAACTGAAGCGACCGAACCAAAAGAAACCAGATCCTCCTTGGAGCTCTCTAGAGCTTCGGTCCTCAGACCCGCCACCCCCCATCGAGACACTCTCGGAGAGAAGCCAAACACCCAAGTGCCGGAGCTACGACTCCCGGGTGCCTCGAACTTCATGGGGGAGTCGTAGCTGCTATCGCGCTCCGTACAGCGCTCCTCCAGCACCTTGGCCTCGGAGCGGCTTCGGGTACCCGCGGAAGTCGATCGGAGCGTGCCAGGCTTTTGGCGCAAAAGCACGGACAGGCTTTTTTGGAGCGGTGCCACTCACAACACTTGAAGGAGGCTGAAAGCCTCCTAGGTACTCAGCTGAAAAAGAACAACTCCTTCCACCATGCAGCAGGTCAGCTCTAAAACAAACCTCGGCCCGGCCTGGTGCGTCACCCGCACGGCCTCCAAGGTGAGGCGCTCCAGAATCTCTTGAGCCCCCGTCACGTCCAGGTCCTGGACAACGTCGACCAGGTCGGCGCCGTGACTATGTGGGCTGTGGAGGGCTGTGGAGGCCGTGCAGGCCCAAGTGGTGAGATCGGAGGTTTGGGGCGCCGAAGTGCAGGAAAAGAAGAGAGGTAAGATGATAACAACAACAACAACAACAACTACAACTACAACTACTACTACTACTACTACTACTACTACTACTACTACTACTACTACAACTACAACTACAACTACAACTGCAACTGACCGGTTCTAATTTTTTGGCCCCTCATTATGTTTCTGGTTCTCCAAAAGAATCAACCAAATAGAGATATAAAGAAACCGATCCCATCTAGTCATCGGGACCAGACCCTGGACCGTTTGGATGTTCAGAAACGAGATCTGGTGCCCCTTGCTCTGGAGCCGAGACGAAATCACATGAACGAGCCATGAAAATCCACTCCAAAGGCTGAGCACCATATGCCAGCCCATGATGAGGGCCGGCTCTTCCTGCATTCTGGTAGGCCTTCCGTCTCTCTCCATCAGGCTTCGATCCGAAACCCATCCAGTTTCGATCCAAAACTCATAAGTTCCCTCCAAGTGTCATAGATTAAGACTGGACCACTGAGCACCTCTGCAGGCGGATGTACCTGGCCAAAATGTGGCGTCGCGACGGCTCGAGCCCTCTCTGGGTCTCAGGAAGGCCTATCAACCCCACCAAAGGGGGCTTCGACAAGGACTGGAAGTGCCTGGCACCCAGGTGAAAAGGAAACATGCTTGTGCGGTCAAAATCACTATACCTTGGTTGACCCGCCTGGGAGGAAGGTTTCGTTCGCTACATACATGGTGGACTGGTCGGTCTTCAGGCTTTGACACATCCCGGCGCGCCTGCAGGTTGGCTGCAATGCTGGCAGCCAAGGAAAAAGGCTGCCGGTCCTCGAAAAAGTGCCGTAACAAGCCGGGATCTCTTGGGCTCCAAGTCGGTCCCAGTCTTTGTCTCCCCGGTGGTGTAGCGCCTGAATCTCGCAGCAAAGCTTCAGGATCTTGAAAGATACCCCCTGCAACCCAAGAATTGGTTCCAGCAAGCTTTCTCCACGACCAAGATCTCAGGACAGTCGGAGGCCCTCAGGGAAACCCTGGATGCTACCTTGCTCCTACAGAAATTCAAAGGCAGATGGTCCCAAGCGCCGTTTTCGAGCAGAATGAAGATGATCAGCCTTCCCCAATTTGCAAAAGAAACTGCCACAAGAATAGGCTCTTGAGTTCTACCTCTTTCTTGAGTTCTCTCCGCAGCCAGCGTGAAGTGGAAAAATTGGGCGCTTGGATGCCTAAGAACAAGGGGTTCTCAGTTCTCCATGTTTGTGTGAGGGAAGGCAGCTCTGACAAAAATCCACCTCATCGATCGAAGCCAAGTGCAGCTTCGCATCGGGCATGAATTTGAATTGGATCCGATGCAAGCGCTGCATCTCTTCCTGAGACCCAAGCCGTGGCGCGAGGAGAAGAAAAGGAGGAGAGGCTAATCAGGTCTGATCATTGGGGTTCTTGAAACCGAAAAAGGGCGCTTTTGGGAATAATGGAAGGGTCGATTTGCTACCATCATATACCTATTAGGTGTACACTTAGGGGAATCCCCTCTATTAATCAACAAACTCATTAAGCCCCAATCTATATCTGGTGCCAAGTGTGTCTTGATTGGGTGTTTCCGTGGTGATTGCAATGGTCGCTGATGATCCGTTAATATTTCGAGTAGTCTGCAATACAATCTGTGCAGAGGAGTAGGAGTAGGCACCAGGCACCCAAGTAGGTTTTCTGAATAGAAGACCATCATGTAGACGGTGGATGAGTTTTCAACCAACCAAACCCCCAGACGAAGAGCCTTTACCATCCAAATTTGGACTGGGGCAGTGATTCACTCCCACCTGTGCACCCGCAAGGGTCAAAACCCTCACACCATCTCATCGTCCGCGGTCCGCGGTCCGCCGGGGGTCTCAGAAGGGAAGGTCTTCACGGGTCGCTCTCTGTGGAATTCTTCGTCTCCGCTGTAACAGGTCGTCACTTTCTTTGATCCATGTAAACAACAGCTCCTCAATGCTGGAGAAGTGTATGTCATGACCCCAACCAGTGGAAATACAAAGGTTGCACAGACCCTTTCTCATCATGTCTAAAGGTTTAATGAGCCATGCTGACCAACTTGACTGCAAGGTGATCGAGCTAGCTCTATCAGCTCGAGTTGTTCTTCACAACTGATGGGTCGAAACGGGGAACATCGGGCGAAGTACTTCTTCGCCGTGTGGTTCTTCAGAACTGCATGGGTCTTGGTACAAGCGTCTCCTAGACCCTTTGGTGCGCCGCTCGCGTCGGCATGGCTCGTTTTCGACCCGGTTTTTTCACTGGATCGTCTTCACTCGCTCGAGCGTCTAAGATCCACTGCTTCGCTCCCACCTCGCACCGTCGGGTGGACGACGGAAGAGGACCAGGCGGCGGCGCGTGGTACTTCCGGAGAACGACCGGGGGAAAGAAGCGTTTGGCGATTAGGAACAAGTGCCACGCTAGTAGTAACAGGTGCCTTACTAGTAGTAACAAGTGCATCGCTACTAGTAACATTGGTTTCTTTTCTTCTGAAATAGATGATGGTACAGTCACAGTCCTGTTGTTTTCGGTGCTTGCCGGTGTTTGCGGAGAAGACTCGGGGTGAGACATATTCTTCACACCCGCCACTACTGGTGGGGGATTCCAATTATATACTCACTCCAAGACTCTTCTGCTAGGTGCCTAACTCCTATCTCACCATATACCACCTACGGCTACCTAACGTTTAGCCTCGTATGTACTTAGGACTTACGGTACCTGTCTCTCATCTCACTTTGGGCCTTAACTCCCATGTGATCTTGGCCTAGTATATATATATATGCAAGTTATATACGTGCTCCCAACAATCAGGGCCAACGGGCTAAGTTTGAGCCATGGTTCCTTCAGCTTCGGGGAAGGCTAGGATGAACGTAAGACTTCTGAGGGGCAACTCCAAAACCCTTTTTATACGATTTATCCCTGCAACTTTCCCGCTTTCAGGTGTTTTTGGAAACCCATGGTCTCCTGAACTCTCGACCCTGGGCCGGTGGCGAAGAGCACTCAGAAAAATATCGATTCGCCAGGGTGATCAGTGGGGTCTCGGGGTGCCAGGGGTACTTGCTGGATCTGATTCTTGGCAAAGGAAGACTTTCGGCTGGATCAGCATTCGGGCTGGTCGTGCTGTCAGGATGCCCACATCGGAAACCCTTTCAGGCCATTTCTGCAGTCGGGTCTGCGACAGCCCACCTTCTGCAACATGCCAATGTAGGTGAAGAGGAGCTTGCCAATCTCCTCGACCTCGTGTACAGCACCTCGGACATGGCAAGGGTGGGATGGTATGCGGTGAACCGCCCGTGCGGCGCCAGTGCGGGACATACAGCAAGACTCAACGTCCAACATGTTGGGGGTCAAAAACATGTCAGGTCAACTTTGTGCTTGACTTCTACAAAGGAATCTATTTTCTCTACGACAGTATATGTAAAATAAATACATCAATGAGATGTCAGACTGACATCTTCCGCCATTGTGTTTGTCAACCGGGAAGCTATGAGGAACTCATCATAGAAACAACATGAAACAACATCCCTGTTGCTACCGGATAGTGAGGTTCACCCCCCCCATTTTATCCAAATAATGGTTATCTAAAATGACTGGTCACACTCAAAGGTCTGCACAAAGTCATTGAATTTGAAAAGTGAAAAAGAAACCCACTTTCTCGCAACAGCTCTCTTCCAAACTGGTTAATTCGACAAGTTTGCAAATCAATCCGTGCCATAAGACCCATTTTAGCCAAGCCTTAAACTAAATGAGTCAAATACATGGGTCTTCCGACTTGCTCTACTCCTTCCTGTGGTTTGGAGATGGGGTCCTGCAAACATCCTGTGAGTCAATTCTCCCTGGTCAACTCCTACTAGTTGACATGCAAAACGGAAATCTGAACATAAGACTCTTTTGAGAGATGTCTCATCTACCATGATTTGGAGTGTGTCCTTTTACCCCACACACCCCAAATCAATATCTGCAAGGCATCCACCCGAAAGGAACTCTTCGGAAACCATGCACCCCTTCCATAGTAAAGCCCTTCCCAGAAAATCAAGGATGTAAAGAAATGAATCGAACGAACCTCCTGAGAGTTCGCTGTTCGCTGCTGGTCGTCTTCGGAGTGGTTCGAACGGCAAACCACGGCAGCTCGGAGCACCGTCGGTGAGCACAAACTGCACGTGCAGCAAGGAGAAGGCACCCTGCCACGTCTGGGTGTCGTTGAAAAGAACCATCACCAGGTGGGAAACTGGAGCGCGGATGTTCAGGAGATTCTGCCCAAAACTGTACAAACGGGCACCTAGATTGTCAGGTTTCTAGCACAAGAATCTGTTTGCACCGACTTGGGAAATCCAACTGCTGTCCCACGAAACAATCACATAGCAGCAACCCAATCCCATCCCTATCCGTTTCACCTCTAACCAACCACCACCAGAGGAGACGCAGCTGGCGATGAGCCCGCGCTCCTGCGGCAGTCAGGTCGGACTCCAAACAGCTGGAACCTCCCTACCCGACGAATCCGCGCAAATGCCAAAGGCTTAGTGGGTCCAGAGACCCCCAGGCGTCCGACCTTCCTTCGGGGGACCCCCAGGCGGCGCGGCAATCACCTCACCCGTCACCGAGTCACTCGGTCCTTGAGGCGGGCAGTCCTTGCGAACGCTGATCCGACCGACCCGAGTCAACGAGGGGAGAAACGGACAACACAGATGTTGTTAAACAATGTATAGTTTAATGTGGAAAATACCCCCCAATTTTGAAGATGTGTTTTTCAGTCCAAATGGAGTGCGTCTATTGATCAAGAGTCTACAGCACTAGAGTTAAAACAGTTGGCGGTTCGCTGCTTCAAACAGTTCGTAACCTCTACAGATTCGTAAACTCTTTGCTGTTTTCATGGGTGACGTGGACATGTCCTTTTACCGGGTAACCCTCGACAAACTCCTTGACCGATACTTGTCATCCACTTGCCGGAGAATGACTGACGAATGTAGTTCCTGCTAGAAAGCCATCACACAGGGTGGCCCATTTCTACATTTCGTGACCAAGGGCTACGTCTTGATCTGACACCAAACCGCTTCACTGCATGGTCCTCTTCTTCGCAGCCCGCCCTCCCACAAGCCCCGCGACACCGAAACGGCTTCGAGGCCGCGTGCCCAGGCGCAGCGAGCCGGAACCCTCGTGGCCCAGTAAGTGGGTGGCATAGGCCTCCACCGAGCGGCGGCTGAGGGCTCATGGAGGTGATCCTCAAAGGGACCCGGTGGGACAAACCAGTTCTTCTCGCATCCCAAATGAGTCTTGGAGGCTTCATATACGATACCTCCCGGCCCAAGATACGCGCCTTGGGCTTGCTCCGCCACAACGGTGCTTGCCAGGGTAGGACCCAACTGAACTTCAACCTCAGCTAACCCATCCTTCAGAGAAGAGAAAAAGGATCTGATCCGGATCTCTCTCCCGCGTCTCGTATGCCCTCTTGTGCGCAAGTTCGCACGACGACACCAAAGGACGTGAGCTGACATCGTGAGGGCCAAACAAGCCACTCTGGAAGAACGGGCCAAGACTGACAAGCCCCGTCGAGTTCACCCTGGAAGCGCTTGTCGCACTTCCGGAGACCAAGGAGCGTTTTCACATCCTTCACAGGCGACTGCAGGAGCAAGCGGTTCCACTCCTGTGCCACAGAGAAGATGTTTGCGTCAGGTGTTGCCATTCGACCAAGGCAGCTCGCGGGTCAAGACCTACAAATCAACCAAAGGACCAGCGGATTCGTGATCCAAACCTTGCAAAATCCTTGAAAGATCTCAGTTGGGGACCATGCTCCGTACATCTCCTTACTATTTAATGATGGCCACCTGGTGGAAGAGCCCGTATATAGGACCCACTTTCATCTACTCCGCGACTGCAGCAGCCCAAAAATACGATAAGTTATACCAAATCTCAGTTGCTAGGAAAGGTGTGTCCACTTCGTTCAAAAGACCTGCCTTTTTGCCCTCTGGCCCTGCCTCACCCCAGAAAACGCCCCCACCTTTGGCAAGAAGGGCGGCTGGTCGCTCACGGCATCGCCTGATTTCCACCGACCGAAGACGGAGACGCCGAAGACGGAGACTCGCTCCCGCCTCCCACAGCTGGGTTGTTGGGACTCGAGGTTTGACCAAGGTCCGAAGGTGAGACAGTCAGATGTTCAGATTTGACCTGAACACCGTGCTTCACCCAGTTTGAGACCAATCCAGTCGCCCAGGCTCTTTTGCCGGATGAATCTATATATCCATCATCCCTTTCACATGTCACCTTTCGCTTGGCTAAATGAAGGATCCAGTTCCAAACTTCAAGCCGTGGCATGCCACGGCCTTAACTCTGCAGGAGGTTCAGTGGTTCTGGACCTCTAGAGAAGTACACCAAAGTCCAAGATCATTGTAGATCATTGTCAGCACAAAATCTTCCAAATCCCTCCATCCAGCAACTTCAGCAACTCTTACACAAGCACTGCTTTGAGTCGTCCTCTCTGCTGGTCCTTCGACCGCCCCAAGTCTGCCTCGGGGCAGAGACAAGTTCTTGTTCACGATCACAGAGAACTTCTCTCGAATCATGGCCTCCGCCCCGCTTTTTCCGCATCATGGAAGTGGATAGTGGCAACAAAGGGTCTTACACTTTCATCTTGGCTTGAATCCAAATCCATGGGCATGGCTGTGGGTCGCGGAACCCTGAAAAGAGATAATCCTTTGGGTCTATCCTATTATTATCTATAACAGTGGATGATGATGATGATGATGATGATGATGATGGTTAGTAGAGGCCTTGTTCAAAAATAGTGATAATTGTTTACTGACTGTTACAGGTAATAAGACAAACCCTAAATATCCTTCTTCCAGCCAAATGCTGGCAACCCAAATCCGTCGCTGCATGGACTTTGCCAGTTGTGGTTAGGTTCCAACTCCTTTGGAGAGGAAAGGCCGCGTCACCGAGCGGTAGAAAGGCGGCTTGCGCCAAGCCTCTTAATATCAGGGAAGAGGGAACAGACCCCAACAAAAAAGACCCAGAAAGAACACCAAGGACATCTGAGCTCACATGAAACTAGTAAAACTCAAACACACGGGAAAAAGAAGAAATCAAGAAGTCGCCTGAAAGGCATTGGCTGGCGTATCTATACCAACCAAAGATTACCCCCACAAGCGCCCACGTAGCAAGATCAGCAAAAGATGCAATGTGGCATGCCGGCCTCTAACTCTGGGATGCTCTCCTTGCCGATGACGGACAAAGTCATGCCATTGGCGGAGTAGAAGTCTCTGTAAAACTTCAACATCTCCTCGTACAGATCCAAACCTGGCATTCAAACAAGACAGGGTCTCCTGGGTTTCTCATGTTGGAGTTCGTTTTTTTGTGCTGAACATGATTCGGGCATGATGAATCAAATGACTGATGGTGGGGCGCGTTTTTTGCGGCTTGGCTCTTCTGTAATTGTACAATTTGTGAAGGTCTTGTTTCTGGGATGCTTTGATTGCATCTTTCTTGCCTCGACTCTTTATGATGCTTTCCCCCAAAGACCACAGGCCCTTCCTGCAGTTTAAATTGAAGCTTCCCTTTTTCTTGTGCTGATCCTGTGGGATGCATCCAAAATATAAACCAAATCCGGATGAAACTGCAGGCTCTCTATGACCAAAACGCGGTTGCTCGAGAGCTGACCCCCGTCCCGTTGCTCATGGCCTTTCTCTTTGGGATCGTCCCGCAGCATCTTGTTGTTGCCGCAGGCGACGTGAAAGGGGTGAGCCGGATTGGCGCTCATGTTTAAGATACCTCAGCCCAAGCCACCGACCGTTTCGTTTGGGAAGACGATTTCCCGGGCCACCGACCGTTTCGTTGGGCCTAAGGGGCCTCCAGACAGTGCCCATGGTGATGATGGAGAACCCAAACCTGTCAACTGCCGAAAACCCCGGGGGGAACCTCCCCCTTCTGAGTTAGCACGAGGTCTCTGACCTCTCCCCATCCTCCCATGTCATCCAAAGCACCAATATCCCGCCAGGCAGGATGCGTCAGACCTCAGAGATGTCAGACGATGTCCCACGCACCACGTGTAGCGGCTAGCGTGGGGATGGCGGAGTCGGGCTCCGGGTTTTTGGTTCCCGGATTGGTGTTTTCGGTTCCCGCGGTGTTTTTTCTTCCCGCGTTGGTGTTTTCGGTTCCCGCGGTGTTTTTGGTTCCCAAGTGAGTTTTTGGTTCCCGCGCGGCGGTGTTTTCGGTGCCCGGCTCGGTTTTTTCAGTGCCCGCGGGTGTTTTCAGTTCCTGTGATGGTGTTTTCGGTTCCCACCTTGCGTTGAAGAGGGAAAAATTGCGCGGGTGTTTTCGGTTCCCGCGTCCGGTGTTTTCGGTTCCTGCGTTCGGTGCGTTTAGGTCTCCGGTGTTGCTGGTTTTCGCGTCCGGTGTTTTCGGTTCCCGTGTCGGGTGTGCTGTGATCCCGTGCGAAGTGGTGGGAGTCTTGTGTTGTCGCGGGACAACGCGAAAGAGTTTTTGTAAAGACACGAACAAACACGAACCACCAAAAGCCACAACCACTACCACCACCAGCACCTTCACCACCACCACCACCACCACGACCACCACCACCACCACCACGACCAC